TGTGTGTGTGTGTTTGTTCTCGTGGTTCCTGAACAAATCATGGCCGAGCCATCGTGTTGGTTTTGGGGATATTGGTGGTTGGAGCCCGTGGACGACACTTCAGTTTGTGTTCACATCATTATCATCACGCGAATGTAACATTATGTGAGGAATCAGTCGGCGCAATCTGAGCTTCTCCCTCCTCCTCCTCCGCTCACACGGTCTCTGACCTTTTTGGTGATTCTCTTGAAATTCGATTATCTTGAATCTAATTTTCAAACCGGTTTAACCATTTGCACTCCGGCTCGTCGGGCCGGTGTGGCTGATGCCAGTTGGCCTGCAGCGTAATCCCCGTTGATCCACCTTCACACCCCTCCCTTCCCCGACCGGCCCCTCTGTGACGTAACGCACACGGGGGCCACGCCCCCCCCCGCTCCTGTGTGGACACACACACACACACACACAGTTTCCCTGCTACGTCAGCGGGGTGCACTCGTGTCCTTCACATGAAGGGCAGAACTTGGTGGACTGCAGCGTGCACACTTTGTGCCTGAGCGAAGGGATCCAGTCTTGCTCTTTTCGGCAGACTCAACCGGAGCTCAAAATAACCGATTTAACCCTTATGGGGGGTCAGGGCCACCGCTAATGGGATACGCGCTCAATCAGGATTGGCGAGCCAGCTCTACTCATCTCCCCTCCTTAAACCCTCCGATTGTTCTGCCCCGTGTGCGTCTTCCACTCCGCTCACGTGGAAGATGAATGGCGTCTTTGTGTCGTGTTCGATGGGAGATCAAACGTATTTCGATCAGCATGCGTATAAAAAATAATGCACAACTCTGAACCAGGAAAAGGGTCTGACTCTGCTCGAGTTGAGTCCGGCAACAAATGAAGCGGCTGACAAACCATTTCGCGGAGGCCGGACTGCTCCAATATTATTCAAAATCAGTCCATTCCGTTTGTCCCTCAGCATGTGTTTGATTATGTTCCCGCCGTCATGTGAAGATGACCTTAACGACCTAACAGCATCGAGAGCAAGCATGAAGTCACCATCCTCAGCGGACTCAATGAATTTGTAGTGAAGTTTTTTGGACCACAGGGAAGTAAGTGTTCTTTTTCTTTTCTTTTTTGTCTGACACTTGACAGAAGTTTCCTGATTTGTTGCTCAATCCTCAAGCTAATCCATATTAAATGGGGAAAAACCATGTTAAGGAGCGTTTGTTTGTGCATTTGCTGTTTTGGGATCTTAAATGCTCCCCCGTCGTCGCCTCTTCTCTGACCACACTTGAGCAATGAGCTCCACACACACATACACACCATCTCGCACCATCTCCCTGTGCAGTTTGCTTTTATCTTGTGCAATAATGTAACATTTAAAAAGTAGTTTCAGCCCATCTGACGTTCAGTTAAATCCGAGTGTGAAATGCTATCGCAGGAACACAAAGGGGTTCGTCACAGCCGGCCTGCAGCCCTGAAATGGATTTAAAAGCGGGCCACAAAGTGCAAAGCAGGGCGGCCCGGCTGAAGGGGAATTTGGATGAGGAGAGTGCCGTCAGCAGCAGGAAGTACTTCATTCTGTGTCTCGCCAGAACTGAGAGGAAGTTGGCGTTTGACCTCGTCTATGATGCCTCGTAACCACGGCAAATAAAACTGAACTCCTCCCTGCTGGCGTGTGTGTGTGTGTGTACACACGCTCGCCACCGTTCATCCCGAACACGTGTGTTTTCATCGGCGTGCTGTTCAGTACCGCACACTCAAACAATCTCGCTCTTTGAAGCGATCTGAAAGTCAAGAATACCGCTGGGCTGAAACGCATTACTGCACAAGATAAAAGAAAACGTGTGTGTGTGTGTGTGTGTGTGTGTGTGTGTGTGTGTGTGTGTGTGTGTGTGTGTGTGTGTGTGTGTGTGTGTGTGTGTGTGTGTGTGTGTGTGTGTGTGTGTGTGTGTGTGTGTCATTGCTCAAGTTTCTCCTCTCTGTTGTGGAGAAGAGAGTGCAGAAAATAGATGCAACCCCCCATCGCAGTGCTGAAATATGATATTGGATGAAATGAAAGTCTCCACTGCGCACAACAGGATTAAATCCTTTTTTGTGTGTGTGTGTGTCGTCCCCCACCTGTGTACCACACTGTATGATGAAGGCGGTGGAAGTGCGAGTAGATCTCCCGACAAATATCTGTCTAAATCACCATCAAAGGTGGGGGGCTTCTACTGTCGCATTGCCACCCCTTCTTAAAATACCGCTTTTTTTTTTTTTTTTGTGTGTGTCTTTTTAACACTCATCATTTCTGCTTTTGCTTTTCCAGGATTCATGAACAAGATTTTTCATCCCAACATTGACGAAGCGTAAGTTGATTTCGGTCCTGCGATTGCAGCGTGGATGTTTTAGTTGGGTTTCTGTTACTTTGAGAGCACTTCAGGGCCACGGGGCTGCTGGTCATTTAAGGTCCTTGCGTATTAGAGTTTATATCGCAGTATTTGTAGATTTTTCTTGGCCTGCTGTAGAGAGCTGGCTGGTCCATTTAAACTAAAAACATTTGTTGAATCCATTAATATTTCATACTTTTGCTGGAAAGAGTCTGCTTATGTTCCGCACTACACTTTTATGTGTCACTAGTTTTGGCGCGGGCCGCAAACGTCAGTAAATCCTGGAACTTATGAACGGGGCCGAGCTCTTTGTTTCACTTGGCTCAGAGGCCAGATCTTCTGATGGTTTCTCTCTGGGAGGACCGAACAGAACATCTACTCCCGCTGAAGGCCAAAGATATCGGCCCACTGAAGTTTTACATTCATCACCAGGAAACAGCTGGCGAAATGTAAACACCAGTTTCCAACTACAGTAAACCTCCCACATAATTGTGCCTATACGTTTTATTGGGCTTCCATTAATCAAACCCAGCTCTGTCATCGGTTCCCTTAAAGTTCGATATCCACCAGTGACTCCTAATTATTCCATTGCACCTACCTGCCACACGAGTGTTTTGGGCGTCATGGAATACATCATCCTTCGAGGCTCGTCCCTCCCGCCGGCCTCACCCCTCTGACTCTGTTCCCCCCGGTTTCCCAGGTCAGGGACGGTGTGCTTAGACGTCATCAACCAGACGTGGACGGCGCTTTATGGTGAGTGGTTCCGTCCATATCTCATTTAGAGCCCCTTTCACGGGGGGCCCAGATGGCTCCTGAGCAACGTACGCGTCGCTCGAGTAATACTCTTAGCATTCCTCCCCCTTTTAATCTCCAGAAAATAATCTAGAGAAGAATAGAACGACCAACCGAGCGGCGTCTGTAATGAAACTTGACGAGATCCTGCAAACACGAGGATACCGTCCAGTAGACTGTGGGGAAAGTGTTCTGCCGAACATGAATGGGCTCAACAGTGACACCCCGGAGATGGGTGCAGAATTACACCCCCCCCTCCCCCCACACACACACTAGGCCTCAGCTGTGAGAAAAGGCCGAGGCCTGCCGGCAGATATCCAGGGGAAGGGATTAGTACCTCGGCTCTGTGAGCTCAAGCTGGGCTGTGAGATCCTGTTACTATTAAACGCACCGCACATCTTTGTGTGTGCGTGTGCGCGCGTGTGTGTGCGTGTGCGCGCATTAACAGTTGCATGGTAGACACGTGGTTGGCGGAATGTTGTGCGAGCGTGTTCATCATTCATGTCTCTCGGGCGGTGAAGGTGTAATCTGTTGCCTCCTTCCACAGATTTGACCAACATCTTTGAGTCGTTCCTGCCGCAGCTGCTGGCTTACCCGAACCCCATCGACCCCCTGAATGGAGACGCAGCTGCCATGTACCTTCACCGGCCAGACGAGTACAAGCAGAAAATCAAAGGTTAGACCTCATGGAAATGTGTTGAGTTTAGATTACCGGTTGCTTTAGACTATTACACACCTAGAAACAATATACGGCGTTTGGATATATACCTCACTTGGAGTTTTAGGGTCTTCACCTTTTCCTGTCTGACCACTTTCTCTGGTCTCTCTGTTTTTCCACCCAGAATACATCCAGAAATATGCAACAGAGGAGGCTCTGAAGGAGCAGGAAGAGGGCGCAGGCGACTCTTCATCCGAAAGCTCCATGTCAGATTTCTCAGAAGACGAGGCCCAGGACATGGAGTTGTAGTGATAGGAGGGCTCCCCCAACCCCGCTTCCTCCTTTAACCCCAACAGAGACTATATTTGATTTCCTAACCATGAGAAAGCAGACTTATAATATTCATATTTAAACCAGTTGATTTTTTTATTATTATTATTGTTGCTAAACAAGGATTTTTATGGATATCTAGATGGACGTCCCTTCCGCTCTGTAACTGTTTGTCCCTGCGACGGCTTTCACATTTGTAAGGTGCGTTTAGGCGTAAGGCAGGAAGCCTTCCCTCCAACATGTTGGTTCTTTTCTCAAATTTCCCTTTTTAAAATATAAATTATATATGTTTGAACCCTACTTTTTAAAAGGCTTTTTTTTTTTTTTTACTCGCTCCTCAATATTGTGATGTAGTCGAGAAGGCGCACAATGTCGCGCACACACACGAGGTGTGTCACAGAGCACCTTTTATATAAAAGTACCAAGAAGTAGAGTGCCAAAAAGAGCTCTTGAATCAACCCTGAATGCTTCCTAAATGCATCTTTTTCAACATTCACCCCCTTTTTGTTAGTCTTTGTTGACCGGCTGCCTGTCCACACGGCACAGGGCGAAACAGATTCCCTGTAGCTGCAGAAAACGCGTAGAGGACTCGTGTCCAAAAGGCTATGGAGACGGGTCAGTGGAACTTGGAACCAGAACTGCCCTTTAAACATCTCACTGTATGGATTCTCATATCCATTGTGAGGTAAATCGCACGTGAGCGCACAACGTTGTCGTCCATCACACGTGCTTCTTTTAAAACATGATTCTATCGTTCGATAGTAACGTTTCAGGTAGAAAAAGAATGTAATCACCACTTATTCTAGAAAACCAGCACGGCGGTCTGTTTTTAATTGGAGTAAAAAGCAGCAACAATGGTCACGTTACGTGACCCCCGTTACGTTCCGCCTACCAGGATCTCTAGTTGGAAGATTACAAAATAAGAGCCCAATGTTTGTCCTTCACCTGAACGAGAGCAATTATTTCTCTCGTTTGTTTGTTTTTGAGGGGGTTGATTTTTATATGTAAAAAAGAAAAAGTAACATTTTCATGTTACTCATTGTGGATTCAATGGGGCGGGTTTATATGTGAATGATGTGTGGAAAGAAATTGCAATCGCTTTGACTTTTGGCTGGGTTTTTTCCTGACTTTTATTTCATGTAGATTTTTAATACTTTTGCCAGATGAGGAGGTGGGGGGGCCGTCAACACATTTGGATCCTAGAAAGCCTTGAAACGTATTCTCTTGATGGACCGCAGTGAGGATCACAGGTCGCTTAGAGGGTTAAAGGCTGAACCTGGCACTAAAAGCTCCCCTCATCTCCTCTGATGTCAACGCTTCTGTGCCTCATTACAAAGGGAAGGGTGACCATTCAAGAAGTTCCCCAAAACCCAGTCATGAAGTTCAAAAGAGAAAAGCACATAGTTTTTTACATGCTACTTTTATTCTGCTCCTTCCGTTAAGTGATTGTGTGCGTATTGTGGTTTGACATCTAAATGTCCACACTCTCAGAAGAGAGGAGTTACCCAGCAGCATCGGGTGGATTTCGAGGCTAATGTGGGACTTTTGGACCTTTTTGGGCTCAGGGTTGAAATACAATGTGGTTGTATCTTTCATAGGGATTAACATCTTCACCCAGGACACATTGAAAGGATGGAAATCATGCCAATATTTGTCGAACTGTGTTTCCTTCTCTCTTCTTTTTTTTTTTTTTTTTTTTTTACTGTTTCACTGGGTGTTTTACTTCCACTAAACGACGTACACGATGTGGGTGTGTTGCAGATATTTAGCTAGCGAGGTAAACTTAGCCAATACAGCAACCGTACGATGTGTAGTTAGTGTCCGTTGTGTGTCAATGTGTGATACTCTCGCCGATTACATCACGCACAGAAAGCCAGCGAGTGGTTCGGCCCTTTTCAAGAGATCACATTTCCTCCCAAGAAGCCCAATGATGCGCTCACTGTTGTCACATTTGAATGAAGGTTTATAAACCGACACACTTCTGGAATATCTTTTTAATTTTTCCAGTTTTCCACCGGGATTAGCGCCCAGCGGGATGCAGCCATTTTAACTGCTGCACAGCACAAAGTTTTGTGACGTTAAACATGTTGAAGGCAGTAAAGTATAAAGCTGTGTGAATGTTTTCACGTGTTCAGCTCCACCAACTTATGGGTCAGCTAATTGTCACACCGATGATGTCCTTCAGCGTTTTTGTTTTAAGTAATTAAGTGTTTTCCGAGTTGAGAAATGTAATAAAGTAGCACACAATGAGGCAATGGTGCGACAGGGAACTCATTTTATTTTTGTGTTTTTCAAAAACACCACTTCTGTTGAGTAAAATCACAGGTTCGATTTTCAGCATTATTTCAATCCACTTGGCCATAAATTCACATTAATCCGCTGAAGCTCAGCTTTCAGCAGCCTCCCTCATTGTTTTTCTCTCCACACGGTCAAAAGAAACTGGTTACAAAAAACAAACCAGTAAATGAGTGTTTCCCATTGAAACTTGAATCCTAAATTATTTTTGAAAACGCGTATCTTTTGGCTTTCTGCCCTTCTCCTCTTCCTCTTCTGCCACAAGTGGACAGACAACAATGTCTTCAACCGCATCAACGTGATAGATGGGGGGTGGGGGGGCCTTGCTATTCTGACTGCAGTGAAGAGTCCAGAGCCATACCCCCATCCACTCTCTCCACCCTCTCCACCCTGCCGGATACAATGACGTCCTCCCGCCCTTTTTTTATTCAGCACAGCTGCAGAGAGCCAGCATCCTGATCCTGTAATCCCCCCCCCCTATCATCATCCTTGGTCTTATTTTTATCACTTTTTGTTTTCTTTGCATCGTGAAAGTGGGCATGATGTCAAAAAGACAAATGCTCTCTATTAATAGGCTTATAACCTCATAAATAGTTGTGTATAAAATAAACTTATAACATCTTTTTTTTAATAAAACCTTCAATGTGTATAAAAGATTTTGTCTGATTCTCACTGTGACATCCTGAGGACTTTACTGAAGAACACATGTACACTCAATGTTAAACACTTTCGATGTACATTTTCATCAACTTTGTTTTATACATCCACGACGCTCTTAAAGAGCTCTCATTTGTACATTTATGCTCTTTGAGTGGCAACATCATTGAACGTTTCTGTTCTTTAAGTTGTAACGATGTGTGTCGTCTGATGAGGGAATGTATTCATCTCCCTTTCTCTCTGCTGAAAAATCCACAACAAACGCTGAACAGTTAAATAAAGTAGTGATGAAGTACAGAAAGTGATTGTTCTCAAACACTCGCATTGTGTTATTACATGAATGTTGCATTTTAATATCACACATCTTTCTGCCATTTCTAACCATCTTTTAATCTATGATGCATTACAGCTGTACCATAATGCATCTTTATGTTTGGGGACGAACACAGAGGTCGCCGACATGGTATTCAGTTAATCTCCACTCTTTTAATCCATATTATATAACCAATTTAATGTCACTGGGATTACATCTGGTCTTCCACAGACAACCGGCCCGTGTAGTAGCAGCAGCCCTTCCACATGGTGTCAGTGTGCCTCCACCCGCTTCATGACCCCTGTGAAACTACAGGGGACGAATGGCCACAGCCATCACCATGCTCACCAGTTGGCGTTCTGAATTGTCCTTCAGAGCGCACACACTGACACGGTGTTCTCGGTAGCAGCTCCATCTTCTGTTACATTCAGTGACCGCTGTGTCAACCCTTCGTGGTGCTGTTTGTTGAGCTTCTGACTGGGGCTTTTATTTTGAAGAGGACACTGGGCTGCCTGCATTAACCTTGCATTGGGGGGCATCCTTCACGTGCAACGATGGGTGCAGTTTTGCGAAAGACGCAGACGGGGGCGCTGCCACATACATCCTCCTCAACCCCCTGCTCAGACCCCTCCCCCCCCCCCTCCGTAAAATCACAGCAGGGGCAAATAAATGCTGTGACATAAGGCCATTTAATCCCCTCTCCTCTGAAAAAATGTATTCTGTCACGCAGCAATCTGCTCTCTCTTCATGTTTTGTCTTCCTTTCCGCAGCATTGCCGGGACGTGAAATTGCTCCCTGGTCCAATATCTCTAAGATGTCGCTTTTTGCTGTGTTGGATATTTAAAATGAAACCTGCCAGGCTTGTGTAAGATTCCCTTCCTCTCTCTCTGTCATGTACACACAAAACGGTTGGCCAAAATACCAATAAGACCCTCGCATGCTGTGCAGTTCCTGCAATAGTTAGTTAATTAGTCATTTGACCTTCCCTGCTTGTTTAAAGGCCTCATTTCACTAAATCCACACCCCCAGTTTTAATGCAGAATTTAAAGTCCCAATAATCCAGATCCAGTTAAATTTAAACTGGATTTACAAAGAAGCGACAAGGCTTCCTGTCCCACCTGCCATTACGCAGCAGCAATTTTGCATCCGTCTGGTGAGCTGTCTGTTAACATGCAGCTGTATATGTGCCTATTTAGATGTTATGTGAAATTATTACCTGGGATTACTGGGTACTTCATATTCAGTCCGCTGGTTAAAGACTATATTCACAAAGGACTACTTTTGCTACGATAAACCCGTCCCTGTCGTCATCTTCATCCTGCATCAAAAGGGAGGAGGAGGAGGATGGAGGGAGGGAGGAGACATTGGACGTTGTTGGGATCCGTCTCCGCAGGCCTGACCTCCAGAACTCCAGCAACCCGATACCCTCAATGAAATATTTAGAGCTTCTGTTTTATCCGCAGTGCGTTTGGTCATCACAAACCGTGGGCCCTCCATGACGTAATGCCAGTTGTCTGATTGGGCCTCACCGAGCAGGGTGGTGGTCAGGTGACCGGTGCCGTTATGGCCTTTTAAGGCATTACAATGCCCTGAGGCTCCACATTAGGCCCGCGAGCTGCCTGCTGCAGAGTTATGATCAATCACTGTTGGATCCGGTGTTTTTTCCAGTGCAAAGCTTTTAGCAGTAAATCTACCGCATGCGTACGCCGTTTTGACGAAGGCCCCAGCAACTCAAGTTCCACTCGTCTGTGTTTAGAAAAGAGTCGGTTTGACCGATGATGTTTCCCATCACGTCTCGTTTCTACGGATCCACGCTGCGTTCTGCAATTCCACAAAACTGTCAACTAAAGAGATGTCTTGACATTTTTTTAAAAAGCGGATTTGGTTTTCTTTCTTCCCCCTCTCTAATTCTCTTATTTTCCAATCTCCCAACATGCCACGCTGCTGGGGGGGGGGGGCTGACGGACCGTCCACCAATGTGGGCGAGTGGTCATGTGACAGAGAGGCTGTGTGTGGGGTTTTTCCAGCCGGGCCGGGGAGACACGCGGGGGCTTTTTTCAGATTTAAGATCGGGCTTCAGTGCACCAGAGGGGGTGTTGAAGCTGTACCCGCCATCACATAGTTCCCGGGGTTTTTATAAATAGAGGACCCCCTGATTAACAGGCCCCCCCCCCCCCCCCCCCCTCAACCGCTACATACCCGTCCACTGCTGTGCTGCAACGGGAGCAGACAGAAAGACAGACAGCAGAAGACGGTTTGTCAATCAGAGTGTGTGTGTGTGTGTGTGTGTGTGTGTGTGTGTGTGTGTGAGAGAAAGAGAGAGGGGGAAATCAAATGAATAATTAATGAATGAATTAAATAAATAAATAAAAATATATGTGAATAAAATGTTTGCCATTTTTTTTAACCGTGTTGCTTTTAGCACATCTGCTTCTTCAATATTAAGCACAGCACAAGACAGACACAGGGGTCAGATGTGTATTTTTTTGGCTTTATTCCGTGACCTTATTTCCCGCGTCATCTTTACATGTTTCGTTTTCCGGAGTAATGATGCTGCACGTGCAGTAAATAATCCCCTGTTCAGTAATCCGCTGCAGAAGTAACGCCGGTTGGAGCTAAATTGTAAATTTCATATCGGGCGAGAATTTAAATTTCCCCTCACGGGTATTTAGTAATCATGTTCCTTTTTGTTTTAATATTATCACGTATTTTCATCCACGCGGGCCTAAGAATCATTTAAATCACTGTGACAGTAAATTAATGTGTATTACTCCGCACGTCCTCGTGAAGTCCCGTAAGGCAACCGATCTTTTCCGACATGTTTTCCAGCTATATTTATATTATTATATTTATATATATATTTTGTGTTTCCTCTTGGCGCAGCAGACTCAATCTTGCCGCATTATTATTTCATCCTGCGTCCTATATCGCGTGGCCCGGATCCCGTCCGCGCGCACGGCCTCCATCCGATCCCTCCGCTGGCACCCGCACTCGTGCGGCTCCGGCCGCGACAGCGAGGAATCAAATGAGCGCTTTAAATATTCATCGAGGGCCACTCGTGTCCCACACAAGCCGCCCCTCTCGCACAGATGATCGGCGGCTCCTGTTTCAGCCTCCTCCAGCTGGAAAACCACGTCGAGGCTTTGAGGGGCTTTGAGGGGCCCCGGGCTCCTCGAGTCACCGGCGGATTGATTTCACTGTCACCGTCCACTCTGAAAGGTTGTGTAACGCAACCCGGCCGCGTCACCTCTAAATATTAGACGAGTTTTGTCCACACAGTTATCTGTCTAATTATCAACAGCAGGTAAATGGACTCTGGCTGGCCATCGGAGAGGAGCTGGCCGTCATATATTAGGCCTCTAGAAGCGAACAGGGGACATACCTCGGGCTCCCAGTTGTAGCGTTGTAGCGTGGGGGCCCCACTGGTGGTGTGCCGCTCTGACCTCTTCCGGAAGAGAAACGACATCAAGGCACCTGAAGGCCCCCGAAGAGCTGCTGATGACTGCCAGGACCCCAGGCCTCCATCGGGCCAACTTCAGGTTGTATGGCTCTGGGTTGGGAGTGTTTTAGTGAAGGATTTCTGCATCATTGTTATACAGGCGATCAAAAAAAAAAAAAAAACGATAATGCGGCAACCTCAAAATATTCCTACTTTAATGTTTTTTTCCTCGGACAGGAGACGTTATGCAATATGAGCGGCGTGACCACCAGTGCGGGCTTTAAAGGCAGTATTTGATAATCATTAGCCATCTGGACGTGGTCATCTGATCCTGCAGCATCTTGACTCGAGAACTGCAGCCTCAACGGCATCAGCCGACTAAAACTAATCCCGGGTCGGGGGGGATGGGGGGCTGCGGCAAATAGTCTGATGCTCGGTGTCATACCTGAAAACGCAAGGGCGAGGGCATGTTACACGGTGGTCAGTTTAGCCTGTTTGTTCTCCACAAACCCAGAGAGTAGTAGTAGTAGTAACAGTCTCTCTCACACTTTATCTTTCCCTTCCACAGAGACGTGGTTGGTTAAACCTTTGAACCCCAATCAAACCACAGGCCTGAAGGCCTCCTTTTTGTTGCCTGGAGAGTTGCAGCAGTAAAGGTGTAAGAGGAAAAAAACATACACTAAAATATACAACTAAAATAACCGTAACGTCACATTTGTGTGGCAATATAATAGAAATATAATAATAGTGAGATTTTTAAACATGAATATATGTAATTAAATCAACTAGTTTATCTTGATGTGCCGAACAAAAAAGAAAAATGTCGGCCTTTTCTCGGGTTGGGACATTCTAAAAATGGGGGTTGGTCCAAATAATCGTCAGAAAATCATTTAATCCGAAGAGACAAAACCCAATCCCCACCCGCGCAGGCTGCCGCAGTACCCGCGTCACCGTTAAGGTGTCCTCGCGCTCCGCAGAGATCCACCTTAAAAAGACTAAAGGGCCTCGAGGCCGCACACGGGCGGGCGCGCGCATTTTGGATTATGGCGCTGGCGCTTGCAACCGCGTCCTTTTTCCACCGGGAAAATCCCCGCACGCACTGGAAGCCTCGACCAGGCGGAGGAAGACCGGGTGGAAGCGGTTTGGGTCCCGCTTTTAGAGAATGAAAACGAACGCAGGTTGACGCGGGTGCGATGCGCGCCCCAAATAGTCTTTGTCAATTCTACGCACGTGCAAACAAAATGGAA